AATGAAAAATTGAGAGAACAAATTAAATTGTGAGATTGATAGAAAGAAGAGAGAGACAGTGGAATTAGATCGTCCGCTCTGATACCATATCAGATTTCAAAGAAGGTAGCCATGCATGAGTGATTGAGAGAGAAGAATAATTGCAGAACCTCCATTGTTATTCACGATTGGAGAAGAAAGACAATCACTTACGGAACTAATCTCTACTCATTTTCTATATACAGATATTAACTAACTCTAATAGTTAAGTTAGGTACTAACTTCTAACTTGCACACTTTAACCCCTAAAGTTTCTTTCTATACAAAGTACTACCCTGGCTCAATACTTCAAAATATTTTTCGACTGTATGATATAAGTCATTGTCAAAGACAGTGACTGCCTCTGCACCGTCTACCAAGGTTTATATTTAATTATAATATATCGTATGGTACATATCATTTGAGGATGAAAATGCAATGCTTGTCATTTTCTAAAAGGGCGCATAAGGAAACACGAGCACCAAAATGAGGAGATACAGTTAAACCTCTTTATAATATTCTTATTTTTGTTGAATATTTTTTGCTGTTATATTAAATGACTATTATATGCCTATAACATCAATTAATATTTAAATATTATTTAACTGTTATAGATAAAAATTATTCAAAAACTATTTTTCCTTTAAAATATTATTTAAATTTAAAATCTCAAAAGGTATATATATTTCACTAAGTAAATATTATATAAAGCTAACAAAATATTAATAAATAACTAAATATAGAAAGATTTAAAGTCTAAGGCACATATTTTAAAGCTAGTTAAAACTTAAATTCTTTCAAGATTGATGGACCAACTCTACAAATATAGTTTGTTTCATAAATTATAGTTTCTTACTGCGATATAATGCTTGGATTGATAAAGATTTGTATCCAAACTTTCAACAAAAGATATGTGCAGATTTTTAAATATTAGACATTATGAATGATGAAAACTTTTGTGTAATGGAACAAAAATAAACAAGCATATCTTTTAATAGAATTGAATAAAATCTTTAATTTTGCAAGTATGTACTTGTCACGACCCGGAATCCTAACATCGGGTCGTGATGGCGTCTAACATCCACTTGCAAGGCAAATCGACATGAGATAATTAAATAACCAATTTTTTTACAGTTTAAACACAATGATGACATACAACGAGGAATAGTGTAACGACTCGGCCGGTCGTTTCATGAGTTACATCCCCGTTTTCCCATTTCTGCTTCCTTATGTGTTGTTGAGATGTATTTCATCACATCGTGTTGGTTGTTCTGTGTCCGGAATGGTCTTGGAGTGAAATGAGACACTTAGTATCTAATTTAGGAGCTTAAGTTGGAAAAAGTCAACCGGATGTTGACTTATGTGTAGAAGGTCTCGGATGTGAATTCTGATGGTTCGAATAGCTTCGTTAGGTGACTTTGGACATTGGAGCGTGCTCGGAATGTAATTTGGAGGTCCGTGGTAGATTTAGGCCTGAATTGGTGAAATTGGAAATTTGGAGTTTTCCGGTCGGCAGTGGAAATCTTGATATCGGGGTCAGAATGGAATTCCGGAAATTGGAGTAGGTTCGTTATGTCATTTGTGAGGTGTGTGAAAATTTTTATGTCATTTAGATGAGGTTTGATGGGTTTTTGCATCGTTTGCGGAATTCGGAAGTTTGGAAATCCTTAGGCTTGAATCCGAGGGTGATTTGGTATTTTCATGTTGTTTTGAGTGTTCCGAAGGTTGGAATAAGTTTGAATAGTTATATGTGACTTGTTGGTATGTTTGGTTGAGGTTCTGAGGGCCTCGGGATGGATTTGGGTGGTTGACGGAAGGGTTTGGCATTGAGTTAATGTAGCAGATTTTGCTACTTCTGTCATATCCGCACCTGCAGATTGGGTACCGCAGGTGCGAGGTCGCAGATGTGATATGTAGACCGCAGAAGCGGGATTTGGCCATCAGGAGAAGAACCGCAGGTGCGGTGAGTTGGGTGCATCTGCTTTATACTTTGAATAGTGATGTTTATAACCTAATGAACCCGGTCCTTGATGATAAGTGATAAAAAGGAAAAATATTTACGATGATGTTGAGCTAAGTTGAAACAGGGCCTAAGCTTATGAAAACGCTCAGAGTTCGTCATCATCAAAAAGGGGGAATTTGTTGGCCCAAGTGAAGGTTAGTTTTGAAGATTGACAAAGGAAGCTCAGGCATGAACCAGGTCCATCCCTTGTGGTGCATAGAAATGGGCAGATTCGAGCATGTGGGATGCACATGAAGGAGATATGCTTTGGTATATTTGATATCTCCTGATCAAAAAGGTTGCATAATTGATAAGGAGAAGGACTCCTTACTCAATGAGAACATTGTCCAAGATAGGAAAGGAGTTAGAAGTTGAGATAAACTAGAACTCTTCCACCAAGGAAGAGTAGCATTAGAACTCTAGTTATTTCTTCATCTACTAACTCTATAAATTGAAGGATGTTCTCACTTTATAGGTTACGCACAAACGCAGAAGTTAAACGTGAATTGAGAGCAAAATAGCAAGGCTTTTTGCAAGCAGTTCGTGTGTGATTCAAGTGTGCAAACCTGAAGCTACATGAACCAGATAGAAGAATCAGTTCCAAGTGTTTGTCTTTTATTCTAGTTCAATTGTAGTAGGTGTTTTCATATTGTAGCTTTCAGCTTTATCTATAGGCAATTGTAATAGGTACTCAGAGTATTCAAGTTAGAGTTAACTTGAAGTTGTCGCAACAGTTAGAGTTGTTTGCCACAACAGGATTAGAGTTAATCCTAGGTTTACAAAAGTATTTTGTAAATGCAATTTTTGCTCAGTGATTTAGTGGAGAGTTTGGGAAAATCCTACTGAGAAGTAGGTCGTGGTTTTTTCACCTTTTGAGCCAGGTGTTTTTCCACGTAAAATACTTGTGTTCTTTACTTTCCGCATTTACTATTTCAGCAATAGTAGGTTAAGGAACACTTAGAAGAACCAAGTCCTTCCATAATCAGTTTAAGCGAAAAATTGGACACTACACAAATCACCCCCCTCTTGTGTGGTATTGAAGTATAAGGTATAAAACATCATCTTTGTAGCAAATACTGACATGGGTGTTGCTACCTCCTCTACTTATGGTCTTGTTGAGAGGAGAAATGAAACTACATTGGGGTTTGATCCTTTTGGTATCACATTTACTAGAGCAGTGCATGTTGTTAGAAGATTCACACAGTTGTTCATGCTTCAACAATTGACTGGTGCACTGGTTAAGGAAGTGAAGGCAGAGATGATTCCTGGAAAGTTCATTATTAGAGTATTAACTACTCTACTGTTTTTACCATATTTTTGCGGATTTCGGATATCCACAGGACACACATGATAGATCTCATTATGATTATGTCCAAATTGGAGTAAACTATGCTATGGAAGATTTTTACAGTAGAGTGATCTTTCTAAGCAAGAATTTGCAATTGTTTTTCGCAAGCATTTTACTGGTGAAATATTTTTGTCCTTTAAGGAGGTTGGAAAAGAAAGTAACAGGGAAATTAGTGAAGCTGTTGGAAAAGCTAAAAGTCAGGTTCAAAGGTTGATAGATTTTTATGATCATTTGGGTAAAATATTCAAGAGAAGGTCCTTAGTGATAAGAATGATAAGTTGTTGAGAAAAGTTTGTTTGGTCATACGTTACACGTATAGTAACAGGAAAATGAAGATGCTAGGCCAAGGCTTTCTACTGATGTTTCTAGCTTTTGCTAACTTGACAAAAATCTTGAAGCAGATGATTATTTTACATGGGTTGAAGACGAGGTTTCACACTGTTACCAAATCCAAGCCTTGAGGACATGGTTGCTATAAAGGGGATGGAATGTAACAAAATAGTAGTACTTTGAGCTTTCAAAGTAGTACATTGATATTAAAGTGTTAAAGAAGTGCCAAGTCAAGATAAAAGTTTTAGCCTTCATAGCTTAATCCTACTTTTTATGTTATTTTCATTAGTTATCCCACTAGCTAAGCTAATTCACGCTTTTATACCCTGTTAGGACTCATTGTAGAACATACCTTGAATGAAAAATTAGTTATCCTTTTCTCTGCATTTTCTTTCTTTTTAATTTTTGCTTTTTATTTTCATGACGATTCCAACGTCGGATTCATTACACCCTCCTACCATAATGGAATGGATGCTAGTGATGCTACATGAAGAAGAGAACGAAGTGGAGAGGGAAGGTATCATAATCGTTTTTAGCCTTTTTCTTTTACTATTTTTTTGTGTTATTTTTTCTTTTGTTATTTTACACGTGGCACTTATTTACTGGTCCCTCATTCATATTTAGAGCATTTAGTATTCACACGCTCCATTATAATGAGAGATTATAGCTGAGGTGTTTAATAGACACATTTTGATGAGAGTTAAAGTGTCTAACATTCAATAATGTTTGATTAAGTGTCTAAATGAAAATTGGTATCGACTTTAAGACGTTAACTGTTTTTGTATTTGGCAGCCCTTTAACCAATCATATATATATATATATATATATATATATATATATATATATATATATATATATATATATATGCTGGTTTGCATGTACAGCCTAATATGACCGACATATGTCAATAACGAATCCAAAATATGGTAATGAGCAATTTTTTTACGAATAAAGTGGAAATCCACATCAATATCATGAAAAACTAGATTACATCTCATATGAATGGAGCTAACATTATTGCACAACATACAAACTGGAAGAAAATGCCAAATTATTGGCAACTATGACGAATCCAAGACGTTATAGCAACAATAAACAAAATGACCCTATACTTGGCCTCTACAGAGGATTTCGAAATTGTTGGTTGCTTCTTCATATGCCAAGTGATAAGATTAATGTTATTAATTCAAGGGTAGACTCGAAATGTTATACATTCATTAAATGAGCTCAATTTGCCACTATTTTCATTTTATGATGCATTTCCTACGAAATTTCCCCTATTTCTTGATATTTGGAATATAGTATCAACAAATGATAGAATGATATAGCAGACAAAAAACATTAATAATAACAGCTTCTACTGGCCGAAAGTCCAATGCCAACCTACAAAGAGTGTGAACTTCTACGTTAAAACGACACAAATTATGCCCTATTACATCCTACGAAAGTAATTCTCATTTAAATATTTGTCACACAAAGGGATGGTGAGCCTAAAGTTCCAAGTAGGCTAAAAAATAAGCCTATAAGGTACAGGAATACACCGATAATACAACAACCGAACTAAATCAAGATGATGGACTTTGCTCTTTATTAGATTCTTCTCCACGCATAGAAATATTGTTCTCTACTGCAGAGATTCTTGAGCTATGTATGGAGTTCAGTGATACCGTGTTATCCCCAGGAAAGGGAGTCGAAGAAGTAAAATTGTGACTTGGCCTAGTGTAAGCTTCATTAGTTCGTTCTTCATAAACGGAAGTAGTTGCAGGAATAGCAGCGAAAGTAGTTGCATGCTCGAACCTCTGCTTCTTGGGCTCCTGCTCTTGCTGGTGACCAGGAATAAAGCTCCCAATAACAACCTGATCAGCTCAAAATGTTCAGATTGAATTTCAAATAATGTTGAGCTAAAGTCATGGAGTACTGTTAAAGAAATGGATCTTGGGCTTAACTCAATCTCAAAAGCTAGCTCATGAGGGAAGGAGTGTCCAGGCCATATAAAGAGACCATCAATCCCTTTATAGAGTATAGACCGATGTGGGACTTTTCAACACCCCTCTCACGCCCAGGGCTGGACATCTGAAGCGCGGGCAATTTAATATGGGGCCCAACATCGAGAAAAGAGAATTGGAATGGGTCCTGCTCTGATACTATGATAAATGAACTTTGGGCTTAACTCAACCCCAAAAGCTAGCTCATGAAGTGAAAATTACCCAATACCATGTAAGGATACCCATTCGTTAATTCCCTCCCGAAGTGGGACTCAACACCCCCTCTCACGCCCACGACTGGACATATGAAGCGTGGACAATATAAATAGGGACCCAACATGGGGTAATTGGGATGAAATTGATACTATGTCACAGAAATGGACCTTGGGCCTAACTCAATCCAAAGAGCTAGCCTTTGGGATTGCTCAAGCCATATAAAGAGACTACCCATCCCTTTATGGATCAATGTGGGACTCTTCAATAAGTACTTAGATACTGACCTGAATAGGACCAGCTGCTATCAACATGCCGGCAAGTCCACCTCCAATAACACGACCATCGGGACCTGAAAGGGACACACTCATCCCACCAGTTCTGGTTTTTGTTACTCCATTATCACTAGACATATACGATCCTGTCAGAGAGAGAATTTCAAATCGACCCTGCAAAAAGCATGAATCATAAGTTAAGATTACTAGGCATTATCTAAGGAAGAAAGATTACCCATAGCTATTTCATTGGATTGGTTCGACGTGGAATAAAGGAACAATACTTCTCTATACATATTATAGAAATTAGACAGCATGTCTCACCAAAGATGACTGAATTCTATATTTTACATGTCACTGGCAAACATCAATCAATACAAGAATGTTCAAACTAAAAGGGAAAAGATACAGAAGCAGCAGAGTGCCTTCGCACAATAACAAATTTAATCCATATCGACCTGGATGTCAAAACAGCCTCATTATAATGCGGCACAAGGCTATCCAGAGTATTTCGCTTCTCTTTTAAAGACAAGGAGGAGATCAAGCAGTTTCTATAAGAAGAATGCAGAGAATATACGCAAACAGTTGACTACGTATGAAGCAGATGAATACATGCAAATCAAATTCTCAAAGTAAAGAGCCACACCTCATAGGTCAAAGTTCCACCAGATGAATTTGGCTGACCAAGTGTAACATTTGAAATTGCGCCATTGGCAGCCAGCACACAAATAGCTCTAGACCCTTGCTGAGCAAATGAAATGATTTTCATTGCAACATCCTGATACATAAAATTCAAAAATGAAACAGTTTGGATTTTAAATGATCGCACAGAAGTAGAAAATCCATGAAAGAACAGTAAATCAACTTTCAATCAAATAAACACATCTAGCTGCAAGAGTACTGAGCTGCTAGAATGGTTTGCCAACAGCAAGCTGACATTTTTCTTGTATACAGCGCATAATTCTTTAAGCATGTTTTCATTAAGTGATAGTTAAGCCTGGATCTTATCACCCACACACCTAATGCCCAATGTCAAAAGAGAAATCGATAGAACTCCCAGATTTTCTGAATGACAACTACCAACCTATAGCACCACTGCAACAAATGCACATGGTAAATATAGATAATGATTATAAATTTCTTGGTAGTTTCAAACTTATAATAATTACTGTATTATTATTCTGATAAGTAGGTAGTTGCAAAATAAACAAAGTTAACAAATGTGAGAATTAGGAAATAAGTGCAGTAATGGTGCTATTAGCTTCTGGTTCTGCCTGATCCAGTGTTTCATTTTTTGCCACTATGATGCTCCACAAACAAGGAGGAATGAACATTTCATTAAATTAATATGAAATCTTCCATTCCACCCAAATTTCAAACTTTTGTATTGTCTATCCTATTTAGATTCCTGGATACCACAAAACTACATTTAAAAATTAAAAAAAAGGGCAGCCCGGTGCACTAAGCTCCCGCTATGCGCAGGGTCCGGGGAAGGGCCGGACCACAAGGATCTATTGTACGCAACCTTACCCTGCATTTCTTCAAGAGCCTATTTCCACGGCTCAAACCCGTGACCTCCTGGTCACATGGCAACAACTTTACCAATTACGCCAAGGTTCCCCTTCCAAAACTACATTAAAATATACATAAAATAAAATATATATATACGAACTCTTGATTGAACTTCTTGTATATATACTAGTTGCAGATTGAAGCATAATTGTTGTAGTTGTAGATTGAACAATTGGAATACCACAGAGATGCCTATCTCCAACTTTTATGAGACTGAGCCTAGTGTCTTCTTAACTTAAGGTTGTACTTCAAAAGCCTCCCATGAAGAAATAATTAAATTAGACTTTAGCAACCACACGCTAGTTCCATCTTAAAAAGATAGAAATCAGCAATAGAAACCAGCTTCTTTACAACCTAAGTACGATGTACACTTCCACACGTTAAGATATCTACCAGTTGTACATCTAACTGCTCAGTCTGATAATACAAGAGCATTCCTACTACATATGCAAATGCATAATTGAGAAAAGTAGAAAACTTACTTTTTGATGATAGCAGCCAGAGTTAAGCACAAGTTAGTTATTTAATTATCAATTCTATGATATGCTATCACCAATAACAAACACAAAGTAATAACCACTGTTAGAGTATCCATAAAAAGTTTAAAACTACCGCTGCTAACTTTTTGTCCTCTTCGACTTTACCTTTTCCTAAAAGTTGGCATTTTCGGCAATATTTTTCTAGAGGAATCTAGGCGTGTCCGCTCTATTAGGCTTAAAATGAAAAGTACCAATATACTTCATTCCAGTTCAGTAGTGTAAAATCACCATCACAATCCAGCTATAGCCTACAGGGCCCAAAGCTGGCATTGCAAGTTGCAACAAGGTAAAAATCATAACATTTGTCTGAATTTAACTTATGCCTTAATAGAAAAGGGCATTTTACATCGCATTTCATATTGCTTTGTACATAAAGACAGGCGCAGAAACTGGGCTTGCTGGAGTCTGAAGAACTTTCATCCTTGGATGAGAACATCAGTAAGAGATGAAATATTAACTACAGAATCTACTTATAACATGCAAGTATTATTGTCCTCTACAAAGAGGCAGTCATGTATATTGGTTCTAGTAGAGAATGTCAGCTTTCAGTATGCTACTTAACATTTTTGTCCCCAATGCATACGAAGAAGCCATAGACGCTAAAAACATGCAATCGTTGCTACAACAAAATAACTAGATCCAAATTACGTTGAGGTTTAACAGGTAACTTAATGGCAGGGGTAGGAGCAATTTCGTCTCTTCGCGGACATGGTGAATTAAATTTATGCTGTGAAGCTGTCAAATATAAAGCAAGCTTTTCAAAGTGGTAGTAATGCAGTACAAATATATGAACTAATAGATAAGGCATACCTCGCCGGCATTAACAGTGATCACATGTGGTGTAAAGTTTGGACCACCAGAGTATCCAACATGTGGTGAAATATTTGCAGCAGCAGAGTATGGCACCCTCTCCCCTAAGGAAATTAAATACATTTGCAACAATAGCTCAAGCAAACCGAAATCTTCAAAATAATGCTAAAATGAACAGTTAAACGAATAATATCAAGCTTCCCACAAATAAATGAGGATGATATCTATATAGACTACTTCAGAAGCTGAATATCACAAAGAGGTCAATTTAATTTTTTTTTTAATTTAATCAGTTCCCACATCCACTTGATGTTCTAGTCTCCAAATTCAAATATATAGCATATTATCAGTACACTGAAAATTCTAACTTCAAGTTGATGAGGTAATATCTTTCTATGTGTTGCATAATGATGATTGTCTTGTTATCACTGTTAGAGCACAGATTATTCTCAAATACACTGCCAGTCAGTGTTATCAAAGGCGAAAAGCGCAAAAAGTTCTAAGGTACGTTGGGGCTTTAAGTGCAAATTGCAAATAAAGTGTGGGGTTTAATGAAAAAAGGCGCAACTGGAGAAAAAGTAAAAATATGTATATGTAGTCCAAGACTAATAATTATAAGCATGAATAACAAATATATGGACAAAGAAATTGAAAAAAAATTACTATAAAGTGAAATATCAATTGTTTAACGTCGCCTTTTCATGATTACACTCATTGGCAAGGAATAGTATGCCTTAGAGCCTTGATGTGATACTAAAGTGCACATAAAGCGAGACGAAGCGCTCAACATGTTTCGAGCCTCGCTTCAGTGCTTAAGCGCGCACTGCTGCCAGTGAAAGTAAATGTTGGCATCATTAAACTTTGGAAGAACATTCTTTCTAGGAAAATCAGGTAGTAAAAGGATATTACTTTTATCAGGTGAATTGAATATCTGTGTATAAGTCGTTCATTATTGACTAATGAGGAGCAGAATCTTTTCATTGTTATTAGTTTGCTAGTTCGAAAAATATTCTCTGACATCAGCATCAGAATTTCTAGGATAGTAGACAACTGAACCTACTAAGGTGTATCTTGCGTCAGATCCATGCTTTGTTATATCATTTGTTGAATCCTACAGCAGTTTGTGTTATCATAGTATATTTCTAACCTACTTTCAAAATATTTCTTCCGTCTTGCGAAATAACCAATATTAAAACCGAACATGTACATATCATGCATCAAGTATCACACTACGCACTGCCTTATCCTTTTAAAATAGGTAGCGAGCTTTTTCATTATTCAATTAGTTCTTTATTCTATTTCACCTTGTTTCCTAAAAATATTGGGGTAAGGACACATGATTGTGACCACATAAGCTTATAAGAACTCATACCAAGTGGTATACTCTTTTTGCTGACCACATCATCCTGCTTCTCCTCCAGAAAACTACGGAACTAAAAATGCGAAGAAATATACCCCACATTCAGCATCATAAATGCCAAAGAACGAGATCAGTTTTAGATATGGGACCCAAGTTGCAAATTTGTTTTAAAAAAATTCAACTATAAGATAGAATGCAGAACAAAACAGAACTCAGCAAATTCAAAATTTTGTATATTAATGAGCACAAATAACTATTCAACAGTCAGAGACAGTGTGTTAGACCATTTTAAGCTTTTATAGGAAACACATCAAAGATCCAAACTTCAGTAATTCAGTTCAAGATTCTAAAATAAATCAATAGAATAGGGATAATGTTACCTGGACTTGAAAGCTCAAACTTCTGCTTCTTTTGGAAGGACTCAACCGGGCGGCTTCCACTATTTTTCCAACCTGAAAAATCTCCTGAAAGTGGGATTGAAGCTGATATTGGCATTGGTGATAATGCAGTGTTTACAGAACCATCTGGTCCGTATTTCTTAGGCCTTCCCCTCTTCTTCTTCACTTCTGTAGATGGTGTCGCCATACTCACTGGATTTACTGGTGTGACTGCAGCCACTGATCCACTAAATCCATTGGTAGTTTCATTCCTTGGGGCCATTTTGTAATTTTCAGAAGCTCCATCACTTCTAATTGTAAACCCTAAACTATTAAGCCCTTCTTTCTCCTCCATTCATATACACAAAAATAAACCCTCAAAACCCCTAAACCCTGAAAACTCAAATCCCAAACTTGAAAAAGATCAAATCTTTCAAGTGCTAAAAACGTCAGAACAGAAAATCACAGTAAAAATACAAACTTTACCAAAAGCAACAGATCAAACAACATACTAACACCTCTAACTGTAACCCCAGAACTATTAACAAGTAAAAAAGACAAAACGCTGAAAACTTTTAAAGTACTTAAATCCCAACTAGAAAAAAGTTACTTTTTTTTAGCAAGAACTGAAAACTTAAGAATAACAGCAAGATAAAAATACAATCTTTACCAAATACAACAGAAGAAAGAAAACTAACACCAACTAACTCAGTAAAATCTTCAACTGCTGGAATCAGTTTGTATGTTTATGAATATCATCTGAACAGACAAACTAATTTCTGTGGTGAAAATCTAAAATGCATACTGACACTCTCAACTGTGGCTAACTCTCTGCTACTGCAGAGCAAAGTACAGAAAGCTAATTTTTAGAAATGGAAAAAAGAGGGTAATTTTTCTTGCTTTCACAATTTCTTGAGGAGTTGTGAAATTAGGGTTTTGCTAGAAAAAAAAGTTGAAGGACGAAAATAATAAAGATTGAAAAATGGGGAAAAGATAAATTTTAATTTAATTTAAAATAAAGAAAATTTAACTTGCAGCTGTATTATTTAATTGCAAATTCAAAGTATTAATTTCGGTTAATTAAATGGTTTGACGTCCGTCTTGGAAATTTAAATTATTAATAAAATAATAATGAAACCTTTTAAAATTTGCAACAATAAATGAATTAAAAATTTGGGAAAGGAAATTTCCAATTATTTTCAGAATGCAAATTCAAAGCTGTAAAGTTAACATTGGAGCCATCCAAATATTTCCAACCTCTGACATGTTGTTTGGTCAGTTGACTGTCAAAATTAAAAAGACACCTTTAATTTCGGAAATTTTACTGATGATGCCATTTTAGAAAATTGAAGGACGTATAGTTGAAGCATACTGCTAAATAGCAAAGATATTCCAAGAATCCAGGAGTATTGAGTCAACTTGGGCAGTAGTCAGAAAGTATCCGTAGGTTATGTCATTGTCTCTGTGTCACTTTATAACTGTGATTGTTCCCACGTACAACATCCTTAAACCTCTCAGTATGTTGGATATGGAGAGGCAAATAGATTCTGAGTTTCTACTTTAAATGCAGAAAAGAAGGTGAAAATTTCATGGGGTTAATTTTCAGAAGCTTAATTCTAGAGATGGTTTTACCGATCCAAAAGTACAGTTACTTTTTAGAAACCAAGCCTAGAGTGAGTTTCTCCTCGTTAAATAAATTTTGGTAAACAAATGAATAGAGTTATTCGATATTTATACTAATAGAGGTAGTAGAATGTTGTAATTCACTGTGTAAAAATAAATTAAGCTTTAGAATGAAGAAGAAGGTAAAATCGTTGAGAGAGAGATAAGAAATGTAGGAGAATTTCATTTCCAATAATCATACAGAATAGTAGAGTATAAACTAAAGGTGTTAATCGGGCGGGCTGGGACGGGCTGGACAAAAAAAACGTCAGCCCGTACGGGTTCGGGGCGGGTTGTTATCGGGCTGGGGTTAACGGGTTGGTGGCGGGCTGGGATTTTTCGGGTTCTATAGGGCCCGTACGGGTGCGGGTTTAACGGGCTCGGGCGGGTCGGGCTATATATAAAAATTTTTTTAAATTAAGTTATATTTTTCTTTTTCAATGTTATTGAAACTTTTAAGGGTTAAAATTAAAGATTAGAATTGAACTTTTAAGGGTTAGAAATAAAAGAACAAACTAAAAAATTCTAAATTTGAAAATAGAAAGTAAGTGTCTATATAAAAAATATTGAATAAGACTAATATGCAATATAAAAAAATCACAATATTTAAGTAACTTTGATATTTTTATTGAATAATATAATACTTCAAATTAATTTGCAAGTTCTTTTTTGATTTTTAAAATTTTTGAACTTGCAAATTAAAAGTTTACAACAATTGTTAAAAAAAAAGAAGAAATAGTAAATCATATGTTTTGCATCATCTTTGAAAGCTCTTCCATGTCAATGTGAGGTTCTTGGTTTCCGGTATTATAATCGGTACCATAAACCATTATATCTCCAATTTCTTGGTCTTCCTCTTCATCTACCTCGTCACGCCCTTGATTTCGCCGTTCTGATCTAATCCAATCTCTGAAGCACACTAGAACTTCCAAAGCGTTGCTGCCCAATGAATGACGGGTATCTCCTAGCTGCTGTCTTGCTTGGCTAAATGCGCTCTCTGATGCGACTGTTCAAAATAGGCACATTTAGAACGTCTCGAGCCATGGCCGAAAGAACAGGAAACTGATTTGAGTTGCTCCTCCACAACTCAGAGGTAGAAAATCCTTTGTGAGGGGCTCCAGTGACTTTTGCAAGTAGAATTGGAGTTCATCAATATTCCGGCTACTGGTTTGTTGATGCTCTCCTAGTGTAGACCAAATCAAATAATCTTGAACATTATCATCATCTTCCAAATTTGTTCCAGATGTTGAAGTATTAGTTGAAGGAATATTTGCATCTACAACCGAAGAAGCATCAACAATGTTAGCGTAATAATTATACAAAATTTGTAAATGTTTGTGCAGATCAGAAATACAAGTCTCACTATCAGGAGTTTCAGTTGCTCCAATGTCCATATAAGTATATAAAGCACTGATTAATTGGCGACACTTTATCATTTTGATAGTAGGGTTTAAAATAGCACCAATTAGGAAAATAGGGGGAACTGGGAAGAAATATTTTTTAAACTTATCTAGCATTTGTGCAACAACAGCAGTATATCCGTCTTTCGTCTTCAACTTATGTAGTAAAAGAGAAATTTCAGCAATATGAACTAAACCATTTACAATAGTAGGATAATAAGCTCCGGAAAACTCAAGTGTAGCCACATAAAATTTTTGTAAAAACTTTACAACATCTTCAATGACATCCCAAGTTTTAGATGTTAACAAACGGTTAGGATCGGTACAATGAGAATTAGCAACTTCAGTTATAGGCATTCTATATTTATAACAACATCTTAGGAATAAATAAGTATAATTCCACCTAGTAACTATTTCTTCAGGCATGAGTCTTGGTTTTAGTCCATAGTGTACACATTTTTCCTTAAATGCATTTAATCTAGCACTTCTATTATTTCCTTGAATTACACCAACAGCTCTCCTAACTAAAAAGATTTCATTGTGAAATAAGTCAAGGCCACTCTTCACAATTAAGTTATAAATATGACATGCACATCTAATATGAAATATTTCAGGAAGTGGTGGGTGTAGATGCAATTTTAGTAATGTAATAGCAGAATTGTTGTTAGAAGCATTATCAAATGACATACACAAAACTTTTTCAGAAAGATTATAAAATAAAGCAACTTCATGGATAGTATTACTTATAAATGCACCGGTATGACTTTGATCTTCATCATATTTAAAAGCAATAACACGTTTTTGCATACAAAAATTATCATCTATCCAATGGCACGTAACAGTTAAATAATCATTTCCATTTACAGCACGACCAATATCAGAAGTAAGAGAAACTTTACAAGGAAGACTTGCGAACAAATAACGTATATATGTCTGATATTGTCCATAAAGCCTAAAGATATCAGATCTACAAGTACTTCTAGGAATACCTTTAAACATAGGGTTATAAATTCTTTGAATATAAGTAACAAGATATGGTGAAGAAGCAAAATTAAAAGGTAAACAACCTAAAACAATCATTTTAGCTAATTCTTCTCGGTCTTTTTTAATATCGTATTTACCCAATAACCCCCCAGTGGTCGGGTTAAGTTTTTGTTGCCCACCTTCATCGCCTACTCCCCAGTCAATAGGGTGAATTTCTTCCATGTGCCTACGAAGTTGACCTGTTCCTCCATTCTTACCGGGCTCATGTTTATAAACTTCCTTACATATTTTACATTTTACATAATTTTTCTCATTTTCTAGTCTATCAAAAAAATTCCAACACTTACTTCTTAATCTTCGATTCTTTTTAATAGGCAAAGGAGGCTTACTTGCACTTCCACCCCTAATATTTTGTGTTTGACTAGCATTACCGGGTGTAGGTGGTGGTGTTTCAAGATTATCGGGTGATGGAATATCATTTAAAATATCATCTAAATCATCATCAATACCATAATTTTCTTGAAGTAGCTCATAATCTACATTTACATTTTCGGGTGAACTTTCAGAAACATGTGTAAAACTACTAGAAGAAGAACCACCTCTTATTCTTTTGGAATTTTTCTTACTACCACCTCTACTAGTAGTGCAAGCTTTTTTGGCCGCTCTAAGTAAATCCATTATGTAATTTAAAATAAAAAATTCAAATAAAAATTCTAAATAATAAAGAGAAAGGGATGGAACGAGTGTACAGGGATTCTGAATGACCGCACTAAATTTGATATAGAAAGTAGAAACTCAAACTTCAATTGATAACTTGATACTTGATAATTGATGCCACACTTCACTTGAATAATTGAATTAGAAATTTATGATAATAATACTTTTGTAATGACAAAGCTAAATATTTGATGAAACTTGAAAGTTGAAAGCTTGAAATAATGAGTAATTGGGAATATTATCAAGAGAGAATTGAGAGAGAATTAGAGAGAAAATGAATGAATTGTGAGGAATAATGAAGAAGAAAGGGGGGTATTTATAGTTTTTAAAAGGCTACAATTGCAATTTACAAATTATAAGGGGTCGGGGGTTAAAATATAAATAAAGAAGAAAAAAAGTGGCTGTTGGGGCAGAAAAACCCGTTGGCCAACGGTCTTTTTTGGTATTTGACCGTTGGCAACGGTCAGATTTTAATAAATAAAAAAAAATTATATTACGGGTTAACGGGCTGAACCGGGCTGTAGCCCGTTAAGAACCCGTTAAGGGCTTAACGGGTTGTAGCGGGTTCGGTCACCCGTTTAAAAAAAAATTAACGTTTGTACGCCCGCCCCCCCGCCCAACCCGTCCCAACCCGCTTTTTTTGCTACAGTAACGGGCTGGACCGGGCTGACCCGGGTTGAACCGGGTTGTTAGCGGGTCAGCCCGGCCCGATTAACACCTTTAGTATAAACTGACTTTATGCACACTCCTTAACAGTGTATTTTCTAACAACTTAACTAGCTCCTAATTACTCTGCTAACAACTAATAATAACTAACTCTATAAAGATTTCTATACTTTTAGAGGTCGTATGGTACGCGAACTAAATTATCCCGAGATTATAATTCCTGGACTAATTTATCCCACCTGGGAGGTGGGATAAAATAATTCCAAGTTTGACGGAATAAGGTGGGACAAGGTGGGATATTCAGTATCAAGCCTGAAATTAAATTTATACCACGTTTGGTTGATGGTATAAATTTATCCCAGGATAAATTTTTACTATCAACCAAATATGATATAAATTTAATCGCTTACTTATCCTGCAGACCAAACAACCCCTTACATTACTCAACACACCCCTTCAAACTAGGTGGTGTAAAAATATTGAAAACACCTAGCTTGGATTTTAGGTACTCATGTTACACTTTAGTCAGTCCTTTTTGTGAAAATGTC